TAACATACTAGACTTTTAACAAACACTGTTGAAATATAACAGTGAAATGTACACAGTCATCATGTTTAATGTTTTAAATTCATCTAAAATAGACTATAATTATAAGCATCAATAGAGAGACTAGTAGATTCACTGGGAGGATTTAGTATTGATTTATCTTAATTGTTTAAATGAAAATACTCATGAATTGGCATTAAATATGAGTGAAAGCTCCAGTGCATGATATATTTTCAAATCCCATAAGAGTTCTATTCAAAAAAACAACCTAGCCAAAACTCAAAAGATCAGTTATTCATCCTTTTTGGGCATAAAATATAGTTTTTCATAGCGTAACTAAGTCATGTACCATTGATCAAAAAGGCTGAAGCATATTTGCCGTTTTTAATATTAATTTCAAAGGAATTACTGCAACAGACGCTTTGGTAGTTGTCTATATACCAAAGGCGAAAAACGAAAATGTTATGAAAACAGGCTTACCTTAGGTAAAAATTAATATCCCGATATGTGAATTAGGCCATTCACAGCAACATAAGTAGAGCAAGAAACCATTTCTCCATTTAACGTGTTGAACAGGGAAAAGAGACCTTTTATAGATGAAATAAGGAGAAAATATATGCCGAAAACAATACCGAAAACCGAAAATATTTTTATAAAAATCGGAGTGTGATGGACACGTTTTTGACTTTGTATCGCGGTATGTCAGAGGTAATTACCAATGGCAAAGGGGACCATGTGGCGTCAGCAAAGCTGAAAATCCGCCATCTTTTTTGGTACGCTTTTTGGTGGCGAGCAAGTCCTCCAGGAATTATAATATAGCTCAGTGGTTATCATCAAATGAATGCATTATAAAATGTATCTACATGTACCTATATTTATCAACAAACGCGTTTGAGGTAAAGGGAATTTAAGAATCCGCAACTACGCACATCGCAGTAAATATTTTCTTATAAGATAACCATTATAAAGCACCCTACCATGCATGATTTCCGTATCCTGAAATAGGGTACTTGCATCTGTTTCGTCGACGGCGACGCCAAAACCAACCGCCAGATTCGATGAAAGTACATTGAATCAGAACAAAAACAACGAGAATGAAGGCAACTGTGTGGGTCTTCATCACTTTCTCCTTCTCCAATCAACTTTCAATGACTGAAAAATATATTAAAAATATTTTTTATTACATACAGATCCACGCAGTCATAAAAATATCATTAAAAGTACACAAAACGCTAATGCTCGTTTACATGCACTTGCGATTTTTGCTGCGATTTTTGCGCGATTTTCTACTTTTAACAGATGCTAACGAGTAATTAGTTACGGATACTCTGACGTATAAGAGCCTACATTTAAATATCAGTAACTAAATCACTAGTTCACATCAATCAAAAGAAGAAAATCGCACATAAAATCGCAGCAAAAATCGCAAGACTTTAGTGTGAACCAGCTAACAGCGACGGCTGTTACACAAATCATCACACAAGAAATAAACGAATGACTGCATCACACATGACAAGATTATTTCGAAATTTTAGTTGTGGCGTTTAATTCTTGTAATCTGATTGGCTGTAGGAGCGGAAGGAATTTTACGGTATCTGACCACGGTCCGAAATCCTATACTTTATGCTCGACGCCGAGGGAAATCGTATTTGTTATGTTTTTCTAAAGATTTATCACAGCAAATAATATATATTCATTTAATATTACTACATGCATGTAGCAACGCACAGTCATTTCAAACCAAGAACACAATTTACTGAGCCATAGCCCGGCCTATACTTTTATAAGAAATGACTCAATGCTCATTGCCCGATCATGCTTCATGACTTAATAGACACTTTCAAGCTTAAAACTATCAAAGATGCTAGCGACTATACGGAATCCAAATCCGCGGCGGCGATTTATAATTTTAAATATCTTGTGAACTTTTAGGATTGGTATTTGGGATTAATCTGGCAAATATCATTAAACGAGAAAATGAAATCATATATGACCATTTAAAAATTAGTATAGTTTTTACCTATAACATACCTCTTCACTGCAACCACGAAGAAAGATGTAGAATTTGTTTGCCGCAAGTTTTCAACGAGAAAATTTTTAGCTGAATTAATGAATTAATGTCAATTCGTATGGTCTTTTGATTGTAAGGTTGCTGCCGACACGAAAGATGTAGCGCATGCCTGCTTCGGTTCCGGCATTCAATTCTGTGCAAGAACGAAAGAGCACATTGATTTTTTATTTAAGAATTTTAAGCACTACGTACGTATATATACACTGCAGGAAACACAGCATGCATTCACAACGCCAGTTGATCTCTTTTAAAACGTTCAGTATAATCATGCATTCTAGTGTATTTTCTGCTGTAGCCTGTATGCTGCTCGATCAGTGTTTTTCTACAAAAATTAGACAACAATATTAACAACAATATTAGACAAGAATATAATTTCGGTTTTACAATATTAAATAAGAACTTTTCCAGAAAGTATTGTGGAAGGTATTTAGCTAACTTGTGTTTGTTAGTTACGTGTCAAACTAGAAGTATAAGCTATATCGACTGCACTTGTATTTCCTGTTTGAATATTTTAGTCATTTTTCAAGATGTATCCTGCTCACCTGCAAGTAACTAATATATTAAAAATAATACTTAGTATTATTATTTATTAAAATATATTATATATAAAGCGCGTTCAGCATATTATTTCAGTGAATAAATATTTTTGTCGTAAAGCGACGTGGATCATTCAGACTAATCATTGATATATTGCTGGAAGGGAAGACGAAAAATAAACATCGGTAAGACAGAAGACACGCACAATGTTAATTGTTGATATTTCATCAAATTAAGCATTTGAAATAAACGAATAAAAAATACATATTAATCAAAATATTTTATTCCAAACATGTTTCGACGTAACTATAGCCGGGCCGTCTTCAGTACGAATGAAATATATAGTTATATTTATACATTGATTACATTGCGAAATGTATGTAACTAAAATTATATAGCACAGCCAAGAAATGTGAACAAAATTAACATCTCACTCTCGGTGAAATTTGCATGTGTTATCATATTGTGTCAACCAATAACCCCGTGAGTTTATAATAAACTGTACAATACAAAGTACTAAAACGCTTAAATAAACCACTGTATCATAGTAGTTCGGTTTTAATTTGCCTCGATTGATAATTATAGTTTCAGAACAAGCTATTCCAAATATTTTGGGATAGATTTTAGAATTTTTTAACAGTATTCTTTCTTCCTCTGCTTCACCAAGCCAAAGTTTTAGGTACCTCCACGTTGAATACTACACGAAACATTTGTAGAAATAAACTAAAATTGACATAAACCCACACCAGCATTACATTACACGCGATTTAAAGATATTTGAGTAAATGCAATAATGAATTATGCAAAAATAATTATGTCCGCGATTCTGGTTCAACAGATATGCATTATAAGTATTGAAAGAGCATGATCGCAGGATAAAACGCCAGAACATCGTGATTTATTTAAACTTTTTTCTTTGCCTAATTTCCGTTTTGAACTTTGATGTAGAAAATTGTTCCATTGTTTCAGTCAAACGTTCGACGCCAGCCTCAAAGTTTAGGGTGCGTGGGTAAAAGTCCGCATTGCAAAAGAAAGCTTTGTTTACATCGATTCCACTGCCATACTTTTTTAAATATCGTGTCATTTCGGAGTACTTAATGCTTAAAGAATATAAAACATTTTCCGTGTTTCTATATACAATTAAAGATACAGGCGTGGGCGTGGGAGTTTCTGGGAGAACGATAAGTAATCGGTGAATATATTCCAAACCCCAATGAATTACAAAGATTTTCCCACGGAACAAGATCAGGCTATGGCTAAGTTTACCTTTGAACGCTTGATAAACTATTTTCGTCCTTTATGTTGTGTGATTTGTTTACGCACAGGTATATTGCAAGCCATGAATTTAACATATACCCGTTCCGCATCTCAATTTTCTGAGCATTAATAATGACACATCAAATTTTACGCCGTTTTCGAATAATTTTGACTAGGAGTAATGGCTCTCCTAGCCGGTTTATTTATGTTAAACAAAACGATACTTATGAATACATTCCGTTAAAAGTCCAAATATTTATGCTCAGAAAATGGTGGAGGCAAATTACCGCCAGTTCCTACATAATATGTTCGCCCACTAAAATTGCTATTTGAGATGTATAAAGGTCCTCTTTATATTATTTCAGCTATACTTTAATTAATGCGATGTACATGATTGCTAGTGAAGGATTTGGGGAGGAGGTGGGTTCAACTTTAAACGAGTTTTATCTTCTGCGATGTCACGCTGAAACTGACAGTTTGTAGTTTAAGCAGGCCTGTTCGTTTTCATGCACATTGCTGCTGGCCATTGACCAACTTTCCCATATTGCGTGCACTCCATGCACTACCTGTCGGTCTTTTAGATAAGACACCAAGCCCAACAAATAAGATTTTTTCTCGTCGGCAAGGCGTATCCCCTAGAGGGTACACCTTGCCTCGGTAGTCTATTTTATAAAATCACATTAAATAAATATTCTTCGCAAATATTTTGTTTAAAGAGAATTGTTGTGTCATAAATATAGTCACTCCGTTGACCTAAAAAGTAAAATACACATACCTTTCATTTTTGTGTATGGCTATAGTTATATTTCAAGCGACCCGGTTAGGCAGATTGTGCTCAGCCCGTGCAGGTACTATCACTAAAGAAACTCGCCTCTCGAAGCAAACTCCTCACGAAATCTCCGCTGGAGAAAAGTTTATTCATTCGCGTGGTAAAATATTCGGGGTTTGCGTCATGTGTAATTTTTTTTCCAGTTGACGTTCTAGATGTCAGCTATTCATGTCATGGTTTTTGATAGGAATATCATATATTATAGAAAATAATTTATAGTTGTTTTGAATGAGTAAATCTCTATTCAATTTGTGTATTCCTGAGAATTAAAAACCAAATCAAAAAAACAATAAAGAGGAACACAAAAACTGAAATCGCCTTTTTATTGCTAATTAATGGGAAATTTTACTATTGCAAAAAATACTACATGTCCCATGCAGGTTTATGTTTGCTAGTACTAGTGTCCAATAATCAATATATGTATCACTTCAAGTTCCAAGAAAAGTCCATAATTATCAGTATCCAAGAAAAGTCCATATTTGCATTATCCCCAACGCCCGCAATCTTTGTCCAAGTATTTTATCAATCGGTTAACGAAGTAATGACAGTTGTTGCTGAACAGCCTGTACTTGCCGTAGCGTCGACGATAATTTCGGGTCCAGGTCTCGGCATCGCTCAAGTGGCATTTGCTCGTGCCTTTACTACGCCAACTCCAGCGTATTCCACAATGACTTGGGCTCCGATTCATTTTGTAGGTTTTCGGACTTCCCAAACCCCACTCAAAGATCTTTCCACGGAACAGGATCAAGCTATGGCGAAGTTTCCATCTGCCTGTTTGAAAAACTCGTTTTCTACCTTTAAAGAGACTTGTTGTGCCATAGAAATACTCACTTCGTTGGCCTAAAATGCATCAATGAAGCTTTTCATTTTTTTGTGCATGGTTGTGGACTTTTCGTTTTGTTTTGAATATATCAAAAGACTTTAAGCGACCCCGTTAGGCAGCTGGTGCTCAGCCGTGTCTTCGTTTTCGTTTTTGATAGGACTAATTGTTGCTTCCGATGCCTTATTGGATGTGAAAATGTTCGATTTCTTTGGTTCTTTCATGCGAATGTAATGTTTAAATGAATTTTCTGCGGGGTGTGTATAAGTGCATAATATTATGGAAAACGCATAATTGGAAGCAAGGCTTCGGCATGCAGGAATTCACCGCGTTGCGTTAATTGGCATTAATCCCCGAGCCGGTGCGAAGCACCGGGCGAGGGTACTAATTCCGCTCGGAGATTTTAATTACGCCCGGTTATGCAAATAAGTTGTCCACCATTATGCCATGGACTTTGGGCGTTTTTGTAAGTTATGCGCATGCGTGAGTTTGGCAACGTGCGATTGGCTAAATTAAAATTTGGGTCCACGTCAGCATAACTGATTTTTTGAATTATAAAACTTTTTTTAAATAATATTTCTCATTTGGATGGTGTTTAAAATATACGAAAAATTGAGTCGTATAATTAATTAAAATATTAAGTAAAAGATGCCTTCGGATAGAAAAACTTTCATTCAAATGGATGGTAAAAAATCTACGATTTTGAAGCATTTTTAAAGTGTTTTTGTACAAGTAAATCGGTAAATTTTGTATTTTAAAGCATGCAAGTATTTTTGTAAGTTTAATATGTGGATTTATCAACAAATGTATCACACCTCATTCGAATTTATTCGTCAATTTCGTTGAAATGATTTTGATTTGGAAAGTATTTATTTTTTTAAAGGTGAATTAAATGCTTAGAAAGTAATTGAAATTTAGCAAAAAATTGTAGTATTTAAAACTATTCATAGCACAATTATGGCTATAATCGTACCAAGATATAGGGTTTTACTTTACGACTTCGATCATTCAGCAGAAACGAGTATATTATAGAATTTCGGTGATGCAAATATATGTGCATGTATTGCTGCAAATATATGTGTATTGCTTCAGGCGAGGGGACTTTGCATGCAATGTATCTCTAGTTATTTAGTTATTGAACGAGCAATCGCAATCATTTTATCAAATAGGAAACTTACACGACCTGCATCGCCACTCACATGGTCTCCAAATTGCTAATTAATTTTATTGGACGAAAGACGTATGTTGTGCTCGCGAAATATGTATTTGCGATGATTTTATACCACAATTAAAAAGCATCCTACCATGATTTCCGTATCCTGAAATAGGGTACTTGCATCTGTTTCGTCGACGGCGACGCGAAAACCAACCGCCAGATTCAACGAAAGTACATTGGATCAGAACAAAAACAAGGAGAATGAGGGCAACTGTGTAGCTCTTCATCACTTTCTCCTTTACCAATCAGCTTTCAAGGACTGAAAAAATATTAATAAATTTTATTACATACAGATCCACGCAGTCTATATAGAAATATAATTAAAAGTACACAAAAACGGAAGACTCGTTTACGCTTGCGATTTTTGCTAACGAGTAATTAGTTACGTATGCTCGGATGTATAAGAGCCCACATTTAAATATCAGCAATTAAATCACTCGTTCACATCTATCCAAAGAAGAAAATCGCATATAAAATCGCAGCAATATTTTATGCTCGACGCCGAGGGAAAGCGTTTTGTTTTTCTAAAGATTTATTCTGTAAAAATAAGTAACATATATTTCAAACCATCATTTCAAACCAAGAACACAATTTACTGAGCCATAGCCCGGCCTACACTTTTATAAGAAATTTCAAAGCTCATGCATTGCCCGATCATGCTGCATTATGCCATTAAGCAGGCACTTAATGGACATTTAGGTGAATTTCAAGCTTCAAACTATCAAAGATGCTAGTGACTGTCTATGGAATCCAAATCCGCGGCGGCCTTTTAGGATTGGTATTTAGGATTAATCTGATTAATAACATTAAATGGGAAAATGAAATCATATGACCATTTAAAAATTAGTATAGTGTTAACCTATAACAAACCTGTTCAATCGAACCACGAAGAAAGATGTAGAATTCGTTTGCCGCAAGTTGCCAACGAGAAAATTTTTAGCTGAATGAATTAATGTCAATTCTTACGGTCTTTTAATTATGAGGTTATTGCTGAGACGGAAGACGTAGCGCATTGTTTGGTTCCGGCACTCAATAGATTTTGAATTTGAACTCACATTGAATTTTTTTACTTAAGAATTTTAAATTCTACAAAAATTAGAAAACAATATTAACAACAATATTAGACAACAATATACTTTCGATGTTATACAATATGGAATAAGAACTTCACTAGAAAGTATTGTGGAATGTATTTATCTTGTGTTTGTTAGTTGTGTGTTAAACTAGAAGTATAAGCTATATCGACTGCACTTGTATTTCCTGTTTGAAATTTTTAGTCCTTTTTCAAGATGTATCCTGCTCGCCTGCAAGTAGACTAATATATTGAAAATAATGATTATTAATAAAATAAAGTATTATTGTAAATATATCATATATAAGGCCCGTTCAACACATTATTTCAGTAAATAAATATTTTTGTCGTAAGGCGACGTGGATCAGACTAATGATTGATACATTGCTGGAACGGAAGACGAAAGATAAACATGGGTAAGACAGGAGAGCATGCACAATGTCAATTGTTGATATTTCATCAAATTAAGCATTTGAAATGAACGACAAAATATTTTATTCCAAAGATGTTTCGACGTAACTGTAGCCGGGCCGTCCTCAGTGCGAATGAAGTATAATTATATTTACATTGATTACATTGCGAAATGTATGTAACTAAAATTATCTAGCACGGCCAGGAACTGTGAACAAAATTAACATCCCACTCTCGGTGAAATTTGCATGCGTCATCATATTGTGTCAACCAATAACCCCGTGAGTTTATAGTATAAACTGTACAATACAAAGTACTAAAACGCTTAAATATACAACTGTATTATAGTAGTTCGGTTATAATTTGCCTCGATTGATAATTATAGTTTCAGAACAAGTTATTCCAAATATTTTGAGGTAGATTTTAGAATTTTTGATCAGTATTCTTTCTTCTTTCTGCTTCACCAAGCCAAAGTTTTAGATACCTCCATGTTGAATACGACACAAAACATTTGTAGAAATAAACTAAAATTGACATAAACCCACACCAGCATTACATTATACGCGATTTAAAGACATTTGAGTAAATACAATAATTAATTATGCAAAATTAATTATGTCCGCGATTCTGGTCCAACAGATATGCATAATAAGTATTGAAACAAGGTGTCTACAGTGTCTAGGAGTAGACATTCGCGCGGAAATTCGCGTTTTTGCAGTGTGTTCAGTATGTTATTATACCCCAGAGCATCCTCGTCCCCAGGGCCTAGCTCCGTTGCTCTCCACGTAGGCCCTGGGATACGCTGGTTGATCTCCGTCGGAATTCCGACGAAAAGGCTTGGTCGCATAGAATAGAATCAGGCAAAAATATTAAGAAAACATGGCGAGCGCTAAGACTGCAAATGCATGTATTGATGAAACCTTGCTTCAAGAAGCTATAATTTTTTCCCTAACCAAGATTTAGATCAATTTTTCACTAACATAACATTGAAAAAGGAGGAAAAGACGCTATTCGTCATATTATTAATGGAAGAGAAGTAATCGCCGTCCTACCGACGCCGACGGGTTTTCCGTATGGTGACTTTGGTCTGGAAAATCTCTAATATACCAACTTTTGCCACCTTTATTCGACTTCGTTAAAGCGAAGAGAAGCAATGTTTCTGCCGTATGACCAGAAACAATCGTTACCGTAATTTCCCCATCAAACGCTCTTATGGTCGATCAAATCGAGAAAGTAACAACTGTATTGGAATACAGGCAGTTTTTTTAAGCCATGATGACGACGTAAAAGGTTGGTATTTAAACATTTTTAGTCAATATTTTTATATTATTTCAATTTTTCAGGCAAAAAGGCCAGCTCCCAACAATATTATTTTAGTTTTATAAATGCTCTGCGAAATCTAAAATTCATATATATTAGAAAAATATGGCAATCCTTCATGTACCCCAATACCTTAGACCATAGATTATCAAAGTCTGTGATTCCCTTCGATGATTATAGGCTAACAGTATACTATACTTGGGGTGTATACTGCTACAGTCCCCAATCAAATCCATAACTGTATAACATGGAGAAATAGCTGTTTTACATACTTTCCCTCAACCAGTACATACTATCCATATTATTACCTGACATTGTGGCAAAGGATCTTGAAACTCCTATTATTTATTGTAAACTAATTAGGGTAATTCATGAGATGTAATGGGTCCGAACGAAATGCAATTTAACAACCGCCACAATCTCCATCACCTACTCACCCACAATCTCCACCACCTACCACACCACAACTACCCCACCACAATCTCCACCACCTACCCCAACACAATCTCTACCTCCTACCCCCGTTCTCGTTGACAACGTTGGAGGATCGATCGAGGGAGAGGCATGTCATAGATCTCTCACCTTTAGAGGAAGTACAGTCGTAATGTAAAAACAAACGTGTTTTTTTAAAATACGTATGCATATGCGTATGGATTTTAAACGAATATGAGTCAGAAAAATCAGACTGAATTGGAAATTTAGGCAATTTTTAAATTTGAAGGCTCTAACAATCAGGGCCGTAGCTAGAAGCTTAATTTGGGGGTTGTATATTCATATATTCGTCCTATGCCCGACTAATTTCTTTTGTACGCTATTGTTCCTACGGTAGATAAACATGAATATACGAATATACATCCCCCCAATTAAGCGGTCTAGCTACGGCCCTGCTAACAATATCTACACATTTATTGATATTTTGATTCTACCAAATCGTAGTTACGTACTTCCGGTTAACATGAGATGCACGCGGTGTGTTGTCGTGAGTCAGTACCAGTTGTGTAGTCGTGCTGTTAGGACGTTTTTTGACTGGAACTTTGGATATCTTTTGGAACATTATAGGTAAATGTTTGCACTATTTTCTTGCGTTATTTTTTACTAATACTGTTATTACCCCTTTTAGATCTAACGAGTTGATAAATACAGAACCATTGGCATTCATTATCGCCACTTTATCAGCCTGTTAACGGCCATATGCAGTTGAGTGTTTTATAGCCTCACTCATATTCGGCTTTTGCTGAAGGCCGTGGGAAAGAAAGTCATAGTTTCCCATTTAGGTCAACCTTAGGCAATGCCGCATACACGGGAAAGAAATTTATAGTTTCCCAGTTATAACCTCACGGGAAAGAAAGTTATCGTTTCCCCTTTACATAGGTTATATAGCATGACTTGATATTAGTCATGTGTGACGAATCATTTCAGGATATCAGTGATATATTTTTTCGGTTTTCAGTGATGGAAACCTCTTCCGGCGAAACTTGTATACCGGACGGGCAACCAACACCAAAAGCTTTCATGCCCAACGAGTTGCAGGAGTCTATGGCCAACATGATGTCGGAAATGATGGCTCAAATGAAAGACGATATTTTCAAGCAATTCGAACAGTATGTCGTCGGCGATGAAGTGTGCGATGAAAGTGAGGAGACAATTAATGAGTCACACTCGACTGAACTCCAAACGACTGATGCTACTGAGGACACAGTGAGCTCGTTTGACGAATTGGCAGCTGAATTTTCTACAGCGGATAAAACAGCGCCAGCAATTGACGAAAAATTGGCCAAGGTTGTCGGTGATCTTGTTACAAACAAATTACCTAAATTGAAAATCGAAGAGCTACTTGAGAAGTATCTTCGACCAGATAACTGTCAGTTGCTTGTAACGCCAAAAGTTAACAAAGTTATTTGGCACCAGCTTAAGCAAGGGACTAAAACAGCGGATAGCTCCATGCAAAAGTGTCAGAAATTATTTATGTCCTGCATTTATGCTATTATTCAAGCTTGTGGAAAGTCAACCGGGGAGGTTAGAACGATTCTAACCCATGCCCTCGTTCTCGCCTTGTCGGGCAACAGAGAATTGAATCTTAAACGTCGAGACTTGTTACGGCCTGACCTGAATACACAATATGCATCGCTCTGTAACCCTACGACACCTATAACGAGTGAGCTGTTTGGAGATGACATCGGGAAAGAGATTGATGAAGTCGCAAAAGCCAATAAACTTGGCAGTAAGCTTTCCAGTTCTCACAGAGGACGGGGACGAGGATATCATCCTTATGCACGATTTCAATCACGGGGATCAAGCAGCGCAACATTAATGTGAAGCAATGCCAGTAAAGGATCAAGTCACCGGTTATCTACACTACAGTCTTTTTTCGGGGACAGAGGCTCCCACCGTCGAAGGCCAGGGGCGAAGTTCAGTTCCAACCAGACAAGACCTCCACCAAATTAGTTTCATCTACTCCACAACAGGTCAGTTATATTAATAGAATAAATGAATTGATTAACAAACAACCACCTTTTATGGCTGGGCAACTAAGATCCCATCTTGAATATTGGGAAATAATTACTTCAGACCCGTTTGTATTAAGTTGTGTGACTAATTATAAAATTGAGTTTGATTATGAACCATCCTCAACAAGACATAGCTTTAATTTGGAATATAAATTATCACAACCGGAACAACATGCTGTTGATAAAGAAGTTACCGAGTTTTTATCCAAACATGTTATTGAACATACAACACATGAGCCTGGTGAGGTTATTTCACCTATTTTCATTCGACCAAAAAAGGAATCAGGCAAATTTCGAGTGATTTTTAATCTTAAGAAACTTAACGAAGCTGTTACTTACCGAAAGTTTAAAATGGACACATTAGAAACTGCTGTGAAAATGATGAAACCTGGCTGCTTCATGACGACTATTGATCTGAAAGACGCATACTATTCTATCCCAGTTATACCAGCAGATAGAAAATATCTTAAGTTTTGCTGGCGCGGAGTACTTTATCAGTTTACAGCGTTACTAATGGGACTAACGAGTAGCCCGCGCATTTTCACCAAAGTTCTGAAGCCTGTGTTTGCAACTTTACGATCACAATATGGCCACTCGTGCCTAGGTTATATTGATGACTCCATTTATCTCGAGGACACTGTTCAATCATGCCAAGATGCTACGTTTAATGCCACTAATTTGTTTGTCCAATTGGGGTTCGTGCCACACCCTACCAAATCAGTTTTTCAGCCAACCCAAAGTTTGGAATTTTTGGGATTTTTGTTAAATTCGCTTACTATGACGGTTTCTCTCCCAGAAAAGAAAATTACAAAAATCATAGACCAATTGCGAAACTTAGTGACTGCGCCTTCGTGCAACATGGAAACGAGGCTTATTGTGCAAAAAACAATATTTGTATTTTTTGCAGTACAAAGCTATTCGCCGAGTTATATGCCGTTTTTCGCCTTTGTTTTACATATTTTTCGATTCCTTTCAGCTGGGTTTCATCGTTGTTATCATAGTTTTCAGGTTAGGAAGTTTTGCCTTTCAATTGAGGCGTTTTTGTGGTGTTTTCATTAATCTTTTCGGCTGCTTTCGTCGGGGAAATATAGAAAAGGCCGACACAAACTCAGGTAAAAGTTTAGTTTTTCCAAACTATTTCGTCTCAAGTTTTGAAAATGTATTTCATTTTTCTCCCTCTTATTTGTGCAAAATTTGGCGTTATGTATTTGGTGCAAAATCTATGTTTTTTATGTCAAAAATTATTGAAAAGTCACGATCGAACAAACCACCATGTTCACATTTCTCATCTAAAATTTTTTTATACCAATTTTATCGATCGATAAGATGTAATTTGACAACAATTTTACAGCTCAGCAAAAAAATAGTAGAAATCTGTTGACAAAAACTATAACAGATAAAATAAGCGACGGAGTTTTATGTTTATTTTCCCTGTGTATATAGACTACAGTACATGTGACGTGATGCCGACTGAAAAGCAAAACAACTCTTCAACTTGGCACACATGCATGACATGGATAGTAAAATACTTATAACCAAGACATAATATCATTGTCTATTTTGAATTGCCATTTGAACAATCCTTTTCCCGCAATAACATACTATAAAGGTAGCCACAATGCGAGCTGCAGCGTTTTTTAAGATACACCTTTACATGATGGCAAAGCCGAAAGCGAAAAATATTTAAACCGGAGTTCGCAAGTGTTTTTCCGTTTGCAATGGTGAACGGAATCCTTTCCTTTTCAAGTATTCCTGGTTAACCCTTATTAAACATCTATTGCATGGTAGTAGATAGAAAGAATAGTGTTTTGTACTAACAAAAATGCAGAATTCAGATGCAAACTCAGATGCATTCGAATTCGACTTTTATAAAATTCGGCCTTCAGGCCGGCATGCAAGCTATGCATCGTCTCTACTTTATTAAAACGAATATAAAAACATTTCAGTCAGTTACTTTTGACCATTTTAACAGTATTACTGTGGTATAAAGAAAAAAAATACAGTGATATTTGTGAAGAAATTTGGATAAATGAAGCCATTTCAGTCATCAGGTTTGAAAATTATATAATCTGACTGTCACTTTTCAATAACTTTTGACATAAAAAACATAGATTTTGCACCAAATACATAACGCCAAATTTTGCACAAATAAGAGGGAGAAAAATGAAATACATTTTCAAAACTTGAGACGAAATAGTTTGGAAAAACTAAACTTTTACCTGAGTTTGTGTCGGCCTTTTCTATATTTCCCCGACGAAAGCAGCCGAAAAGATTAATGAAAACACCACAAAAACGCCTCAATTGAAAGGCAAAACTTCCTAACCTGAAAACTATGATAACAACGATGAAACCAAGCTGAAAGGTATCAAAAAAAATGTAAAACAAAGGCGAAAAACGGCATATAACTCGGCGAATAGCTTTGTACGGCAAAAAATACAAATATTGTTTTTTGCATAATAAGCCTCGTTTCCATGTTGCACGAAGGCGCGGTCACTAAGTTTCGCAATTGGTCTATAGCTACATGTTTGCAATTTTTACGAGCAAAACGGTCTACTATACGAGAATTAGCCTCCCTCATTGGTACTCTGGTCTCTACGTTTCCAGGAGTTGAATTGGGCCCTCTATATTACAGGGGGCTCGAGCGTGACAAAGATTTAGCATTAAAACAATCTAAATGGGATTTTGATGCCAAAACCTGTTTATCACAAGCTAGTATTGATGAACTAAATTGGTGGGTCTCCTCCCTTCCGACAGCGTCGCGAACTATCGATCATGGTATACCTATAATTGTTATGTCAACTGACGCTTCCCATCTAGGTTGGGGTGCTATAGCTGGCACAAACACAACACAGGGACTTTGGTCCGCACAAGAAGCTGTAATTCACATAAATGTTTTAGAACTGTTAGCCATAAAATTTGGTCTACGGTCACTGCTTCATGCAACTCGAAATCAACACATCCGCATCGAATCAGATAACACCACAGCGGTCGCTTATATAAATGGAATGGGAGGATGCAAATCTATAGAGTGTGACACTGTTAGTAAAGATATTTGGTTATGGGCAATAGCTCACAATAACTGGTTATCCGCTGCCTTTACTCCGGGGAAACAAAATATTATTGCTGATAAACTTTCGAGAGAATTTAATATCGCCTTAGAGTGGACGTTACACTCGTCCAAGTTTACCAGAATTGCTTGGCATTTCGGTCAGCCGGATGTTGATTTGTTTGCCAGTCGATTAAATAGACAAACGGAAGTATATATCTCATGGAAACCGGATCCTCATGCATCCTTTGTTGATGCTTTTTCGGTAAATTGGACCAGGTTCTCTAACAGTTATGCTTTTCCACCTTTTTGCTTAATTGCTAGGTGTTTGCAAAAAGTTGTGCAGGAGAAGATTACCATGATCATTGTTGTGCCAGTGTGGATCACTCAGGTATGGTTCACCAGACTTTTAAGTTTGTTAATCGAGTGCCCCCGATTCTTCAGGGTAACGGCGAATGTTCTATTCAATCCTCTGCACGGTCACATTCACCCTCTGAGCCCCAAATTACTGTTAATGGCATGCAAAATATCAGGAACAACATCCTTGAATGCAGCGTTTCTCCGCCAGTTGCCGACGTCATCATGTCATCATGGAGACCAACTACTCAGAAGCAACAACGTCTACCTCAACAAATGGACCAAGTTTTGTTTTCAAGAACAAATTAATTCAATGTTACCCTCTGTGAATGACGTATTAACTTTCCTTAACAATTTGTTTGAACAACAATTATCTTATTCGACTATTAACACAGCGCGTTCAGCGTTATCAAGCTATTTAATGGATGCTAGGTTTGCTGGTACGAATTATACGGTGGCGACGCATCCTTTCATTGTTCGGTTTTTGAAAGGAGTTTTCAATTCCAGGAAACCAACACCTAAGTATTCTGAAACGTAGGATGTAAATGTGGTGCTGGATTATCTGGCAACCATGCAGCCTCTCGATGAATTGTCTTTAAAGGAACTTTCATTCAAACTTGTCACGTTACTAGCTCTAACATCAGGACAAAGATGTCATGCTTTAACATGTTTGGCTGCTACGGCTATGAAAAAGACGGAACAGTATTATCTGTTTCATCTTACCGACCATCTTAAACAAAATCGACCTGGTCATGTGTTTTCAACACTTTATGTACGCAAATATCAAGTAGCAGAGCTATGTGTCTACAGAACGTTGGAAGTTTATTTGGACCGAACATCAGCTCTTCGGAAGCCTGCATTTACCAGGCTACTACTTTCTTATGCCAAACCACACCAACCAGTTGGTACCAGTACAGTTGGTCGATGGATCAAGCAAACACTAACTCTTAGTGGCGTTGACACTGCAGTGTTCACTGCTCATAGTACAAGAGCAGCGAGTGTAAGCAAAGCACGAGGAACAGTACCAGTAGATTCAATACTCAAACATGTTGGTTGGTCATCAGACTCAGTATTTCGCAAGTTTTATAACAAACCTGTTGTTGATGATAATGTTTATCAAAATGCTGTGTTGCAATAAATTGCGTCAATTTCCTGTTATGTTGTTTGAACGTTGTGTCCACAATTGCTTTGAAATCTCATGTTAACCGGAAGTACGTAACTACGATTTGGTAGAATTTAAAGTTAAACGAGACTTACCTGGAAGTTGAAGTTTGATGATAATTCTACCAAATCCGTAGTTGTACTGAGGGTTAACATGCCCATCCCTACCCGCCCTCTGCTAATAACCTTTGTTCTAGTGTGGGACATTGTGTCCACAACAGTTTTCTTCAAAGTCTGACTCACGACAACACACCGCGTGCATCTCATGTTAACCCTCAGTACAACTACGGATTTGGTAGAATTATCATCAAACTTCAACTTCCAGGTAAGTCTCGTTTAACTTTAAATTCTTTGAATAAATATCACTGCTGAGAAAACCAAAATACGCACTGAATCAAATGATTGGCCGACTTAGGCCTGTTTCAAACGTCGCATTTTGCATGTGTCGAATACAATTCTAATTAGATTCGACCCTAAAACAATAATCCGACCGTCATTTCAAACGTCGCATTTCGCATGTGCTGAATTCAAATAGTTCGGCGGTTCGGCGGGCTCTATTCCTTATGACCAGCGACAGTCCGCTTGGGAGTAAATAAAAAATGTAATATTTCTAGAAATCCTTTTCTTGCTATTATTTTCCTAATACTCTTGCGTAAATATATTGCACTTTATGCAATATCCAATTGCTTCCCAGCCGCTTCTAGCAAGCCAGCCAGCCTTGGGATTCTTCGTTTTATTCGTGTACTGCGCAACCATTACAAAGAGACGCGGTAGGCAAATGAATTTTCTCAACTTTATGCACACGTAATACAATACGATTTTTCTGGTTCATATCTTTTGTCTACGGCCTCCATATTTCCTTACTTGGGCCTTTCAAAATCATAACATGCATGACGTTCTTTGCCTTTTTCTTCAAGCGAATTAAATTCGACACATGCAAAATGCGACCTATGAAACCACGTCGCATCGAGCTCGCATAATGCGACCGGAACAGTCGAATTTAGCATCACGGTCGACCGCAATTAAAAACAGCGAATTCAATTGTTTCATACGTCGCATCTCGCATGCAGATAATTCAAACAATTGTATTCGACACATGCAAAATGCGACGTTTGAAACAGGCCTTATTTATTGCGTTTTCTACTTTCGTGTCGCGCAAAATCCCCGATTGTACATTGTTGTACTCCCTGTTCCCATGACAACATCATGTAACGAGGAAAACAAAGCATGTCTCCTTGACGAGCTCATATAAATTACCAAATATTCTGCGTTGTCGACCACAAACAAGATAGGAGTCGTCGTTAAAAGCTTACAAAAACGCTATAAAGACGTTCATTGCGATTTCACTGTCATAATTTCAAGACTTTCCTCGTTTATAGTATGAAATCCACCGAACAAAACGCCGAGACATCAACAGCAAAGGCACATTTTTATGAAGAACCGTTCGAATTTCCATCGAAAAATTTCAAGGTAATAAACTCTTTAACTTAATAGAACAAACTGTGGCTTGATGATTACGTTGTTTTACAACGTTTACGAGTTAAATCAATCTTCAATAAATAATTGTGACTTGTCCAAGAACTCTTGTGAACGAATATGATTATAAAATGCATAAAGTAACAGGTATAACTTACTACAATTGTATGTAAGTCTTTGCTCAACTCTTATCGTCTATTGGTACATGCACACTTGTGTATGAAATTATGTAGCATGAAGTTTAATATTTAACTCAAATTTGACGATTGCAATTCTGTGTCTCCATTGAACTTGAATATTGTGTTGGAATTTGTAACTATGAGATATGTCCTTTGGTACCGCTTATAAAGGATTTAGCTTGTAGCATTAGGGGTTGTGATTTGGCCTATATGTACACATGTTCCATATGCTGTAATACTCTGTAGCACTCTGCTGAATAGGTTTGTAGCCATCAAATATCGATCACTAAATTGTAATTGATACAGGTCTTGCAATTGATCATTAATTATCCTGTATTTTTGATATAAAAAAAATAAGTATCTAAAATCAACTATTAAATATGGGCAGCTCTACATGCAAATTATAAAATACTAATATGGCTAGAGCATTTTATAGTATACTGGTGGTATTGTAAGAGTGATTGACAAATTATTTAACTTATTTTAATTTTTAAAATTTCTTAGCGAACTACGTTAGCACCACTGCCACCCTCTGTATCAAAAGGATTACATGAGCCTTCAGTATATCTAACTACAACAGGATCAACACATGATCGCAAGTTCCATCAGTCACCCTTGCTTCAACCAGTTTATAAGAAAGCTCCCATGTCATGCAATGTTCAGTATGTTGAAGATACTATTTCAACGGTAAGTCTTTTGGTGTTGTCCTTGTATAAAACTTCTGACTACATTTTGTGTAGTTAAATTGTAGTTAACTCAGAAACATGCAACCCCCCTTGGTCAATTCTACTAACTATAGTTAAAAGTTAATTATGTTTTTATACAACTGGCCCCAGGTATAAATCTTAATTAGGACTGTATTTAACATCCTTTTTAGGGATTTAATTAAAAGATCTTAACAAGATCCTATTAAGATCGTTTAGGGAATATATTTACACAGTTCAGGATCCCCGAATGTCACACAGGGAATATTAGGGGATCCCACAATGTCAATTTAAATAATAGCTAATGCTAATTATTAATTAAACAGTGTTGATATAGGTATTTATGTACGTCTTGGGCATTAAACAACTTCATAGCATTTTGTTAATTACAAAATTTTATCAGATCTGATAGCTATGAAGTACTGCATGTGTAAATGGGGCCGTATAATTATGATTGTATTAATGTCCGCATTGAACCCATAAAATGTCTCAATAATATCCTAATTAGGATCTTGTAGGATTTTATAATTAGATCATCACAATTAAAAAATATGTCAATTAATGCATTTCCTCATTAACCTATCTTAATTATACTGTTCATATATTGCAGTTAAAAGTGAAACCCTGGAGAAAGCCACTCACTATGGGTTATCAAAGTAGCGAAATGAAAGACAAATATAGAGGAGAACCAGAAGTCATTTCAGAAACACTGTTTAACAAAAGATTTCAACCCCCAAAATTGCATGATCACCATGCTGATGGACCAAGCAAGGTATGTGTGTGTTGATCTCAGCATCAAATGAAAGATGAATTAATTGCATACTGATCCGAAAGATAAATATTATATCTGATCAGCATTCAACACTCCATTACAAACAAAGAATTGTGAGAGGGGGCAGGGGTGTGCACAGGTTTGACAAAAATTCTGAACCTTGATGCATGGTAGAGTCCTTAATGACTAATTAAAAATATCATGTTTTAATAATACTATAACTACCTTTAGAAACTTGTAAGATCGACTCAAAACGAGGAAGCTGCAGGTCGTGTGTATTATCCGAAAGATCGTGGGGTCTTGTCATATCATGGTGATATGTATTTAACCACCACACAACGTGATCATAGACGTTTCAACAAGTGAGTCAGTGGATTGTTTTTTTATAGAAGTAATCCCCTTTGACACATAAATAACTGTCTTTTCACAGATATTTTAAAATATGAATTTCTCCCCAATCGCCTTCTAAGTAGCCTAGTTCTAAATAACCTTCTAAATAAAATGCTTTAAAAAGCTACAAACGTAATATATATTTTAAAATTTAATTATCATTATTGAAAAATATTTTTTTTAAATTTAAAAATAGTGAAGTTCATGCAGTCTTGCCGCACCAAAGGCAAAGAGTGAAGAATTTTTTAACGTTTTAAGATAATCACTCTGTAGTAGATACTTACTAATTTTATCCGTCTTTTGAACAACCGCCTCTTGGTTCTTTTGCTGTTTTGAAAAGCGTGTCTTCATATTCATAATTCAATACAACCTTTGGATGGTTATGTCACAAATATACGTCGACAATACCAAGGAAACAACACTGATGCTTTTTTTTTCAGTGGACTGAAAGTCGCGAAACGATTATTCCGCGTTTTGTTTATAAATATAATGTATACATTATAGTTATTCGATAATTTCATTGCTCGTCGCAGTGTTGCATAAGCACTTTCATATGTAGGCTATTGCAACCAATGATTTTGCTTATTGAATATTTCTCTCTTCTACCCAGGCAAGAGCTGGGGGAATATCCAAAAAAGGAATACGCAACATTCTGGGAATGCGAGGAATACCCAAAAGCCTGGGGTCATGGTTCGAAAGAAAATCCTCTTCCTCGTCATTCGGTTCCAAGATCGGATCGACCAATGAGAGACGAGACGGTGTTTCCTACTGCGACCATCATTCCTCGTTTACCTAAATCACTAAAACCTGTTCCTCACAGGTAAGTCATACTGTACTGTATGTAGCTAATGTTGTTGTATTAAATAAAGCCTCTCCTTGTTATGAATAGAACTGAACTGCGGCTGCACATTTCAACACATTCGTATAACAATTAAGGAATCTCGTTTCAGACCAATCAGCAAATCTATAATCAGCGAATGATTAATTTACGCGGGTTCCGGTTTTACTGCGACACCCTGTGGCTATATACTAATTTAACTGATACTTGGTTTCCAAACAAGATTTTTGCCTTGTACTCGATAATAGAATTGACTTACATGATGTATATCTTTGTAAATTTCTATAGTGGCCTCACTACCGAAGTTCGTTCAAACTTTACTGACCCGCCGGCAAAGAAAAAAGCTCAACTGTTCCACTGCCCGGTTGCCAGACCGTTACACAGACGAGGTTAGTGATAATAGAAAAAAGTTCTGGTCGAATTTAAATTGTCCAATGCGAATCCTAGTATATATAGATAGCTACAATTTATTTTATTGATTATTATTAATTCTTTGAACTTTGTTTTTTTAGAAGCTGGAAATGAGGAAATATTTTCGGTTCCCAACATGTACGAAACAGAATATCAATTCATCGGACAAAAGAGACCAGCCATGGTTGCTTGAATATAGCTTAGAACTGCATGAGATTTCTATATAAATAATTAATTCAGATTTAATAGGTTTGTATACAATGGTATGTACAATTTAATATAAACGCAATGACGAATCCATTTGATTAAGAAAGTATTGTAATGAAAAACGTAACGATCAATTTTTGTGGTATTTTTCAATAGTAACTTTTGCATGAGCTCTCTTCACGAGGACTAGGAACCCGGGCTATAAAATAAACATGGCTTATTTTTTTTCGCGTTTGTATTGTTGGTGACGGCTGGTGCATGACGAAGAAAATCCATTTAAAATATCAATAGCACTTCAGTTTTCAGTGTCGCCGACAATAGCCAACTTTTTTCGGCTAAAAAAACCTTGAACATATAAAAATTCTTAATTCTCCTGGAAGGAATGCCTCGAAGCCACCTAGATGCCTAGCAGCTTACTTGTCAAGTCAACATTATTCCATTTTCCCTCTCTGAAAATTATGAAGTGATCGCATACGCCTGGTTAGATGTTCGCATGCATGCATGATAATTGCATTAATTAAAATACTTGCTTTTTTAAACGCTACAAAAGTCGGTTCCGGAACGTGGGACTACATTCACACGCGACCAGTGCACGCGACTGGACGAATTTAGGAGCGTGCTCGAATTCGTCCGGCCTCCTCGTGTGAACAGTGAACACGTAGAATCGGTCAAATTTTCATTCGTTTTCACCGTGTGAACACCTGAACTGCACGAATTCGAGCACGGTTCCAAATTCACCCAGTCCCGTATGAACGTAGCCTTAGGGCGCTTTCCTTTATAGGGAAAAAATAGCCAGATTGGTCCTGTTGTATTTCGGTACAGACAGATTACTGGTATTTTAGAGTGTTTCAAGAACTCTGCATTCAAGTATATCGTTATTTACATCTGCCTAGCACAGGAAATATAGTTTTATCGCTATATTCTCAACGAAATACTCAGTCTATTTCAATTTAAAATATGACCGGTCTGACCATTTTGGCCGCTTAATGGAAAGCGGCCAAGAAACCTTTACCTATCGCGTAGACTAGTATTTTATCACTAGGCGAAAAATGTCGTCCGGCACTAAAAGATCATAGTGCCTTTAAGGCGAGCAGCCAAGTAGCTTCTGCAAATGTCTAAATACATAATGGTGTTAACAATGGAAATATACAACGTGTTTGAAGCAAATTGGAATTCAAATTAGGCACCATTGCCAATCCATTTCTATTGTATTTGTCTTCACGGTCTACAAAAAGTAGTAGGAATGGGCTGGCACTGATGTCCAAATTGGTTTCAAATTGGCTTCAAATTTTTAAACAGGATATATGGTTTCCGGTTTACATTTTCCTAGAGCCTTTCCGCGTTTCCTCGCTTGAGGATCTGTAACAGAATACGCATTATCAGAAGTGTAACTAAATCTGGACGTCATGCATGCACACGCCACGACTTGCAGCCACAGTGCTCATTCGCTCTACCTCTCAAGGTTCGATCAGGTCATGCATTCTGCGGATTTTGGGCCCTACAATAATTTTCCCCCAAATCCCCGGCCTTCAAAATTCTCTGCGCAGCCCTGATTAAGCATGTTCATTAAACGCAACACTCCTGGGATACGATTATTCGTTGACAATACGTATTTTGTCATAAGGACTTAGCAAATTTATGTTTAGTCTCCAGGTTTTGTTCTTCGGAATATCGATGTGAAAGCAATGATTAGTGGTCAAATATAGTGACAGCTTAGCTGCATCAAAATCTATGGTTACCGTAAGCTCGTTACCTTGTTTTATCAGACCTACTAAACGATTGTCTCTCGTTTTTGAACCTTCCTTCCGTGTTCCCTGATAACCAGCGGAACCAATTTCCCATCCATATGCACCGGGCCATCTAAATGAATAGTTATCAGGTGGTACGACACCCGCCTCAACTATTCCAATAAATATCCAATGGTTGCTTTCAAACGACGCTAATCTTAATTTCAGATTCACAATTCCTTGTTGGTAAACATTTTCGCCAAGAACATATTGAAATGCCTTCGTTTTATCGTGAACTGCGACCGCCCCGTCTTCCTCGAGGTCAACCCTTGAGCTGTGCAAGTTAAATTTTTCGCGAAGGACAAACGCATCACTCAAGCCAAGATAATCGACCAATTTGCGGAACTTTTCGCCAAGATCATCAGGAACAATCGGTAGTGGTGGAGGACAACACGTCGCAATTTTCTTTGCCCTCAAATACTCCAAAATAAAAGCAAAACATCGCGGATCGTAATCAAAGCATATACAGCCATCGCGGTCAGGCTTGACGCAATCTTTCCAGCGACCACTAAACATTATAGCGAGCATGGAACCTTGAACGAGACAAAGAGTTGACTTGTGCGTTGTGAATTTTTGCCCGCCAACATTTAAATAAATTATATCATCGCTTTTGACAGCGACGGCTTGCATATGTTTCTCCTCTTTGTTTATTGATTTGACTTCCGCGTTTTTTTTGACGCGTTCGCCTTCGATAATTGCATTAAATTCATCCTTAAATCGCTTTGCAAGATCCTCAAATTTTGGTAAGAAATCGTCGCTGTTCATTATGTTCTCAACAGTCCGCAAAATAAAATTAACGAATTTCAGTTTGATTTAAACGGACCCAAGACAGCCATGTAGGTTTAAAAGATGCAACGTAATTTATTTAAGGAATTCCTAGTAGCTATAAGCACTTCTGGGAAGTGGCATGATGACAGGCGAGGTGATAAATATTAATCAATAAATTCCGCATGTATTCACATTTCCTGATTTATATTGTATCCCACGAAGTTAAAAACTTCTTGAACTTTGGATAACAATCAAATTTACCATTCCTATATTACGAAGCGATAAAAAAATTACTTGTATGACCTGTATACTCATAACTCATAAGTTGGCAAAGCATCGGACTAGTATACCGAAAGCCGTGGGTTCATATCCTGCCGTGGTCAAGTAGAATTTTCTGCTTGCCATGGCAGGCTGCCGCTCGGTGTTATTTTCTACTAAAATCCTTCTTTTCCCGAGTACCATTTACAAAATTATATATATATATATATATATACATCGTTATCATTAAGGTTCTCAATGTCAATATCTATACAAATATATTAATATCAATCACGTGACCATCTAACATGGGTTATTTTGTTCATTTTTCTCTTTTTCTTTATATTAGTATCAATATTGTTCGTCTAACTGTGGCATTTTAAGAAAAAGCAGTTTCTCATTGACTGCGATTTGCGAATTTTCCTGAGTAAACGGCGAGCGCTTTTGATGTAAAAGTTTAATAATACTATTAATTAGTAAATCGTTGCTGTTCATTATGTTCTCAACATGCAGTCCGCAAAATAACATTAACGAATTTCAGGGTTAAAAGACGCAACAAAATTTATTTAAGGAATTCCTAGTAGCTATAAGCACCTCTGGGAAGTGGCATGATGACAGGCGAGGTGAATTCCGCATGGATTTACATTTCCTGATTTATATTGTATCCCACGAAGTTCAAAAACTTCTTGAACTTTGGATAACAATCAAATTTACCATATATAGAGAACAGTACAACAGAATAACGAGATAATGGAGTAATTTCAAGTATTTAGCTAATCAATATTTTCAATATTTCAATCACGTGACCATCTAACATGGGTTATTTTGTTCACTTTTCTCTTTTTATAGTATTATTCTATGACAAAGTAACTAACATTAACCAAATAGCCCTCGGCACAAGCAAGCAATGCGAGGTTAATTCCAAGCGGGCATCTTGTATTCTTGTTATTTATGAGATAGCAAAGGCAGAGGCAAACAACTGCTCGGCGAGGCACCGACAAAATGCCGTATTTTTCGTGAATAGGCGAGTTTACCGTGCACTCACAGATCGAGATCGATGCTAGTTAGATGCTAGTGCTTCCTCTTGCTTCTCTAAAAACTTCAAATAAAGGTCGCATGAACTTGTTTTTTGCCAAAACACATCGTTTTCTCCATTACAGCTATTGTTTTGTTTCTAAATTTTAGGAAAAGATATAGATGAACGCTTTAAATTCCTTTCCCTGGGTTTTCTAGCTTTTATTTTAATTATATAAGATTGAAAAATTATCTCGCAAAAGTTCCTCTAAGCAAGCCTTTGCCCCCGAAGACGCCACATTGTTTAGTTTAGATATAATATTAATAGACGTATAATTTCGAGTGTAATGGACCACTTGCATAATAGACCAACTTTTGATTCAGGTGACAAAAAGGGAATTTCCTAATACAAAACTTAGTAAAATTGCCAAGTTTTGCTGTGAAATATTGTAAATTGCCGCAGATATAGCCATGCGAAGTTGGCGAATTTTGTATACTTTTGTATTACGGCCGGACGCGTGTAACTAAATTAGTTACACGCTTCCAGCCGTAGTAAAAAAGTATACAAAATTGGCAACTTCGGATGGCTATATCTTCCGTACTACTTTACATTTTGCAACCAAACTTGGCAATTTTACTAATTTTGGTATGTTCTTTTTAGCTGTTGTGATATATTTCCTGCTTGTCACCTAGATCTGAAGTTGGTCTATTATGCAAGTGGTCCATTAGATCTTCGCTGGAACTGATGTAACCTACGAATTTAAAGTGAAGGGCATAAGTACCTGGGAGGATATCTTGGATCGGATGACGGAAAAGATAATTATATTAGTTCTTTAATTAGTTAATGGTGCCAGAAACTTCACGTTTTGAGTGAAATTGCCAAATTCCAACCCCATTTCGCTTCCAGCTCGTATGGCAGGTCTTGGTATTCCGATCTTTAATGACATCTGTCATGAAGAACTTCACAGCCATCTGTCATGTTCTCTCAAGTAGAATCATCCACCAGAATGGTACACCATCAGAAGAACATGGAGATTCCATCCACGATCTTCGTCGTGAGATTGCAAAACATCGTCAAACTAGGAACTCGTTGCTGCTAGAGAATTTGAGATCGAGCCTGAGTGAAGAGCAGATTCGAGAAAATGACCTCGCCCAGTTGAAAAGATCCTCAGCTTGGCTAACAGCTCTGCCACTTGCTGATGGGGGCTACATCTTGACCAAGCGTGAGTTCTTCGATGCAAAGTCTACATGCGTTATCGATTGCCTTCCATCTTTCTGCGCCTGTGGAAAATCATTCACGGTCGATCATGCTGTCGAAGATGCTGCCTCCAAACTGTAGTCCTCGACAAGTCACTCACGTTTAGGTTCGAAATATATTTATTGAATCACATAAACTTCTCAAGTCACTAGCGCACGGCTATCGCTTCACAATGCCCCTCCCAATTCTCTCTCACTAACTAATATGTGGACCATAACGAGGCTATTACGTCATCCCTGTCAACTAACTTCCTGATTACAACTAACTTATAAACTATAATGTATTAATGAAATATTAGATCCTCTAACTAGATACCAGTCTCCAACATCATGCCCTGTCGTGCCTGAAAGGAGGCTGTTATCGATGACGTTGCT